ATGCAGGAAGAGCGTCATGCAGTGACACGAGGACGTATCTGCATATATGGGTACTATTCAACTATTATTACCTAAGAACTCGAAAAAAAGGACTGCTGGAACTTTGCCTATACGGATTACTCGATGCCCTGATCAGAAGTATGACATTCGCTTTCGATGCGCGCATTTAAGCGCCAGTAGGCGCCGACTTAACACCAACACTTTCCTTACCAATAGCGATGTAAACTTGCTTACCGGGGTAATCGGTGCCCTGATCACAAATATGGCATTCACTTTTAGCTCTGACGCTATTTGCCGTAACACCCTTTTCACTAAAATTGATTAAAATCCGCGTAATGGGGTTTCCGTTGTCACCAAAATGGCATTCACTTTCCGATTCAGCGCTCAGACGACCGAGCATAGACGACCGTAGAATGTTGTATTAGTGCCTGCACCAGGAATGAATGTCATGTTCATGATCAAGATCTCAAATAGCCTGCAAGTTTTAATCGATTTTTGTGATCGAGAGCGTTTTTGCGCCGGCGCCTGTGGTGCGGGCACCAGTTTTTCGGGCCAATTAGAAACAAAGAGAAACAAATATTGGGGAAAGGAATACACTCCAAAACACAGATGATCCGTTTCGCCCGTTATCGCACAATTTTAGTATATGTTCAGGAATGAACAAGCGGATGTGGATATGTTCAGGGGTCACAATAGCGCATTAGATTAGCGCATTTTGGCGCTGGCGCCCATGGAGCAGCGCTAGCCAGTGCTAGGGCACGGATTCCACCTTGAGTGGAGGTCAAAATACTCATGGAAACAAATTTTTGGCCGACTCTGCCCTCTCAGGGATCGGTAAAAAACTGGCCAGGTGCCTGAAGATTGTAATATTGACTAGTGCCCACACCTGAAAGATCATGAAGTCAGTTGGAAAGCAGACTAACTGCTTTCAGTTCACATCATTTTCATTTGAATTGCGCTTGCGATGTGTATGGAACTCTGAAACTGGCTAACTGCTCTTCAATTCATGTTCTTCTCATCGAAACGCCATTGCGAAAGGTATGCAACTTCGAAACAGACTAACTGATCTTTAACTCAAGTCCCGCTTAACGAGGTTCGCGCTCTAATCGCTATTGGAAGCGTGAATCACCAAAGAATGGCAAAATGCCAGGAGCGCCGCGGTCGATACGCGTTGCGCGGACGCTGTAGGAATAGATGCGACCCTTCCGACCGCACCTCCACTGAATCTATCTCCACAAGATTCCTCACCGGTCCTGATCCACCATGTCCGTGATCACTAACGCCACTTCCTACGGAGGAAGTTGTCTTCGGCTCTGTATGAACCACCTCTGCATCGTCTCCATTCATATCAGCTCTCACGCTCTAAACAATTAACCACTAGTTTCACTTTGTAACTGTCGAAAACACAACACCAACACCACCACTACTTGAAAGGAAACATTCACATGCACGTTACATTATCAGAATAAAAACTAGCTAACATAGGGAGCATACCAGAACGACCACACTGAAACACAAATCTCCACAACGTCAACAGGTGTTAATATTTAAAAGTAACAGACACACATACATAGCAGCTAAACAACTTTGACAATACGGCGGCGAAATTTACCTTTTCAAAACGTATCGTTAAGAGGGATAGACTGATGGAGAAGCGGTGGTGTTGGTGGATTTCATCGGTGTTCTTTACATGAGCAAAGAGATAACTGACAGAAAAATCTCACAGAGGTAACTTCTTTGACAATCAACACTAGGGAATGCTATGAACATAGATGAAAGCCAACATTGAAAGACTTCAAAATGATGCAGATCTTAAAATGGAGGGAAACTAAATTGGATGAACTCACTACTACATCACTAGCATTCAATCGCAATCTTACTTGGAGGAAGCAGGCAAAATGGCTGGGGGCGGGCAGTTGCTGCCAAGGTATTTGAATAGCCTTCGAGAGGAGCGCTCCCCCCCCCCCTCCTTCAGTCCTTCCACTCATGACGTTGGCAGAAACAGTCCGCCCCCAGCCATTCTTCCCCGACCTTCAAATAGGCCTTCAGCGATTGTCTGATATGTTTGCCTCGCTTCCACATGTTGTTTTTGCCCAAGTGCTGAGAAATATAGTGAGCATTCCATGCAAGCCGTGCTCGTTTGAGGGTAGTGCCGCTCACCGCTTAATTGTGGTCTCAGCGCTTTGCGGGAATTGTTGTGTCGATTTCTACTGACAGCGCTCGGAGCTCACGGAAGATTCTGCTTTTCTTAAAAAACCTCAGCAATCGATAGCAATTTATTTTACAGGAATGTATATGAGTGCAATAGCTCGGCTAATGCCGTTTGGGTTCCAGCAATTTCGGCACCGAGCTCATTTTCAAATTACCTTAGTCACCAAACCCGCTGAAAACATGTACACAAGGGTTACTTACCATCGTGATTACAACTATGACACTCATTCTTGGCGCTGGCGCCAAGGGATGACACTACGATTACCTCTTGGGCTCAGCCTTAGCGGAGCGCAGGATAATCGTAGTGTCATCCATTAGCGCCAGCGGCAAGAGTGAATGTCACATTCGTAATCAGGATGTTAAACTACCCCTACATACAAGTTTTTAGCGGATTTGGTGACTTAGGCAATTTAAAAATGAGCTCGGTGCCGAAATCGCTGGAAGTCCAAACGGCATTAGCCCAATAGCTCATCGTATTACTATGATCCCAAATTTGCACAAGAATTTTCTCAAAGCTGCTGAGAACTCCGTTGTTCCACAAGTTATCCAACTTTTTTTTCATGTTCTGGACGGCATTTAGTTGGTGCAGAGTGCGAGGAAAGGATTGTGAGCAAAGGAATGCTCAGCGGCAGCACCCTACAGATCTTCTAGCAGAATCACCACTAAATCCTGGTCGAAGGGGACTGGATTGACAACGCGGCGTCATTACTATGCTCTTTTTCTTTCGGCTACAGAAGCCTAGGAGGACGGATGCTGCAAGCCAGCCGGACGACTTTGTTTTGAACCCTTCTACCAACCATCTCGCTAGTCTCGGCATGCGTGTATTTGAAAGGAACACCTGTCTTACCCTGAAAGGATCGGCGGAGGTCTGCAAAGGCGACAGTCGACAACTGAGCCATTTCGCCGTTTGCGAGCAGCCCCTCCTTCCGTGAAGAGGAAGGCGCGCTAGGCCACAAAGGCACAAGGGTCCACTTTGTCCGCCCACACGGTAAGCGTGGACTGCGGCGTCACCATGTTAACTGACTGTAGTCAAACTCAAACATCAAGCACTTTTCTAGCAAGTTTCTACTAAATCAGACTACCTCCATTCAAGGTTTCACCTCAACTATCCAAACCTCGTCGTCATGTGTCATGCTTCCATCGAAAGATGGGAATACCCATATCAGGAAATTTAGGAATTGTACTATACAAGAGAGCAGAGACTTCCTATTTAGCTTCCCTTCATGAATTCAGAACTAATAAGAGTTGGTGTTAAAATCTAATAATCTGGTATCACTGTACAGACCTCATCGCGCAGTGTGTAATAGCGAGCATCGGTCACTCGACTACGGTAACGCAGAATCAAAGGCTTGACGAAAAGCATCAGTGGAACCCTGCACCACCGCTAACACCAGCAGCACCCGCTCGACGATACCCTGAAAAGATTGGCTGCCTACTCAGAGACCAGTACTCATGATACAACTTCTAAATGACTAAATATGAGCAGTTCATGAGCACAGGTCGTCTTGTTTTCAATATTTTCATTATGCTCATAAATAAAATTTTTCGAGAGGCTAGGCCAGTTGGTAAAGTTCACCGAACACGATGGGCACTCGTGCACACCAACCAGCTGTCTGTGACCAGACTCGCGACGTTCTTTATCTGCTTTCCATAGCATATACGGCTTCGCAAACAGCATAATCGGAACGCAGATGATCGCCACCAATACGAAAAGTGTTTGGAAAAATCCCTAGTATCACAAAAAACCGATTAGAAGTAAAAATATCGGAATCTCAGTTTCAACATAAAGTTATTTAGCGAGGATGGGTTCATATCAGGGGCCCTCTAAAAGTGCGAATTCCCACCTCAGTACCACTGAATATCAAGATCTTTATGTGAATGCCTAAAACCACATTTCTGGACGAAATCGATTACATTGAGATCCCTGTTCCTCTACTCCTGGAGGCGGCCCTATTACAACAAAAGGAATTACAGTGGTTCCTTTTTTTTCCTTCTTACCAGAACGAATAGGTCGCATGAACCAACATGTCGTTTGAATAGATGTAAGTGGCCTGACGTATCTTCGGATTGTGAATACAACCCACTCTTCAAGTACCTGCTGGTGAACCCCACTACGAAGTCACGCGATTTATTTAGGCATGCCTACACTTGATAAAAATTTTGGGCATAACGCTAGTTTGACTCCGGCATCTAGGTAATGTGGCTGGCCTCATGTCTGCGATCGGTTTAACTGAAATGCAATTAGTCTCACACCCGGGGAAGCCTGTTTTACGTCTGAAAATAGTTTTTAATGCGAGTATGTTCCGTGAAAACGCTCGTATTCCGTTCAGGAAGTTCCAGGTTGTGAATACCGCCCAAAAGCAGACCAGTCAGGATGGGTGTCATCTCAGACCGGCACTTTGACCTCCCTTTTCGCGTCGTTAACAAAAAAATTTCTGGAACAACTAATTTGCTTCCATATTGATTTCAAGTTACGAATTTTAATGGAATACTGAACAAACACCGCGCGGACACTAAGAACCAGTCGAGTATTTTTTTGCTTCACCCCTGCATCCGGGCACCTTTCTGTGAAACCACCTGAAGTACCCCCTTGGTGTCTAGTATTGGAGGTTGAGTTCTACAGCCAAGGAACCATTCTACAACAGCAAGTAGAAAATTTCTACGATTAAGCTTGCTAAGAAGCGCCCTTCGAGCTGTTACTGTGGAAATTTTGGAACTTTTCGAACATTATATACCCCAAATATAAGCGAATACGAGTAGTACCTGTCCAGGGTACCAGTAGTTGAGATGACACTGGAACTTCTGATGTCCTTCTTCGTCTACGAAACCAGAGGGTAGTGATTTGAACATAAACATGTTGATAAGGCCGATTTAAGCAGCGATGGTGCAGCAATATCGAACCAGGATACTTATAGCCAAGGATAGATTCTTGCGGCTAAAAGGAGTGAACAGTTATTTTTAACGATTTCACTCGCACATGGTTTTATGCAAACTGAAGGTGCTTCAGGACATGCCAAATGGAAAGCGATCAGCTGTTAGCTATTCAGTAGTCTTGGTTGTAAAAATGTTTGGATGTTTACAAATGGACGCAAATGTTTCTAAGAAATAAACTTACCCCCGCAGTGAAGTAAATCCATTTGACAACGATCTCCAGACACAGATACATAAATATGCTAGCCAAGAATATCATTTGTGGTATGAACATAAACTTTATGTCCAAATTGGATTTGAAATACCTGAAATATTCGAGTTCGAGAAGAATAAAAGTTCACTCGTGTTTGGAACCCATCGAACTAATGGGATTCTGTAAAATAACGAAAACCCCTTGTGAGCATAGTCTTCGGCAGTAGACCTTGTTCTTCGGAGGATAAAGACAAGACCACACAAAAAACGGCGACGGGGGAGCGGAGGGCATTTTGCATTCCTGCTACTTCCCATCGACGTGTCGACCCATTAGGAAAGCCCTTATCGAGTTGCCAGGGGTACCTTGATGGCCTGACGCCCTTGCTCTATCTTCACAAGAGTTCACAGTTTCATCAGAGTCAGACTATGAACCAGAGAAGAAAGAAATCAACGAGAAGCTGCAGAATGACGGGGCGCGAGGCGCGGGGCGGGGGGGGGCGGCGGGGGGGGGGGGGGGGGCCGGCGGGCGGGGGGGGGCAGGCGGCTCCCCACCCCCGTCGCCGAACTGCGCCAAAAAATGTTCATCAGGAAAATTCCTACATATATCCGTAACATTCTGACAGGCTATCAGATATCAGGTCCAAATGACTGACATCAATTTACACCTTCCGATCCAGATGAAAGGGCATAAAGGGCATAAGCATAGTGAATATCCATCAGTTAAGACCCACAAACCCTTCGACAAAATTCAAGGACCTTCCAGAAATGATGAGAGCCACATGATGTGGACAGATCAAACCAGGAAGTCATGATTGTGGAATGCACTGCAGAGGCGATAAAGGGAGAGAACGCCATTGCACGGAAATATTCTTTCTATAGTCTGTTTGTCAGAGGCACTATGAACCCCCAGTCATGAACACATCAGTCTCATGATTTCTTATGCTGATCAGAGAGAGAGAGAGAGAGAGAGAGAGAGAGAGAGAGGAGAGAGAGAGAGAGAGAGGGGAGAGAGAGAGAGAGATGGCTACCCCTTTTCAATGGATGTTGAGATGGGAGGTTGTATTCAGGGAACAAATTTCACATCCCGCGATGCTAAGCCCTCAACCAAACCGTTTTTGATTACCTTACACAACGCCTCATTCATGTACCATTTCGAAAGAACACAAGAAACTTACTTGTAATTCTGATAGCTAAGCAGTACACCAAAGGTCATTTGCGCAATACCAACAATGACAGAAATTTTCATTTTCATTGAGTTCAGGAAAGTTCAGCTTGTTGGACTCTGCTAAATTCCAAATTGGGTCAACTCCAATGGGATATGGTCCAGCGGCAGTCTGAAAAACTCGTGTGAAACGCATAAATCTCTTGTGATGTCCTAAAACCTAGTCAAAACTATACTCCATCAACGTCAAAAAACATACGTCGTAAGCGTTTTCAGGGATAAGCATGAGAGTTTTCTCTTCTCCATAGTTAAGCTTTTCAATCTCATTCAGATCGTAACAGTTGGTCCATCCTGATCCGAATACATTCATGCTCTTCGCGAACACGTCATTATAAAGGAATCCGGTATATATAGAAAATGCGCCCATCAAAAATATAACATATCGACCGCCAAAGAAGGTTTGGAAGATCTGTAAAAACATAGCGTTTGCTTGTCGATAACCAATGTTTCAAAAAGTATTTCATTACCTCATCCTTTATGCGTGCAGCCTCAAGTTGCTTCTCTTTCAGGATGAAGAAAAGAGCGGCAAGGAGCATGATCGTACCATGTCCAAGATCTCCAAACATTATAGCAAAAAGAAAAGGGAACGAGATCATTGTATACGGAGCTGAAAAGAGATAGTATGTTGGTTGATCCCTTCTAAACATAATCAACGTGATAACAATTTGAATGATCGACAACTTCAGAAATTGCTGGGGAGCGTTCATAGTCCGCGACGATTTTGTTGCGCGACTTGCGCTATCAAACCATCCAGTGAATAGAAGTGATGGGAGTACGGCACTATTCTTGAATTTCATATTGATTTTCATACCACTTCCTATCGTTTCACGGCAAATGAAATAACTGCAGAATCGCCTTGAGTCGCGCAACTGAACTGAAGATGTCGCGAAGTATAAACGCTATTTCACAAATCACTGAAGATCACGAGGGATTCATGGTTGCCTCTCTATCCGAACTGGTCTTACCAGGATTGATTTCCCTGTATGTGGCTATCCCATATGAATCAACTATATTTTGAAAGCCTCTTGTAAACTTGTTTGTCTTGTGATAAGTTGGTGGTGCTTCAGTTGTTTCCATTCGATTTAAAATTGAAGGCACCTGGCTCCCACTTTCTTCCTAGAA